CTAGTAATGAAAAGCGGTAGAAAAAGGTTTCTCTTTACACTTACTAAGTAGACCCACTCTATATCAAAAATTTAGTTTACTTACTTAAATGGTCACTATAGTCTTAAAATATTCTCCAAGTCTGCATACACTAAATGAGAATAAGAACTGTTTATTATCTAAATGGCTAAACATGTGCGATTGCTTGGTGCAGTGGTCAGCGAGGTGATAAAATGGACACTCGTTGAAGAGAGAGTCCGAATCATTTTGAGATGCCTTTTTTGGTTTACTTTGTCATGAGTTGAAATGTAGCTGTAGCTTAGGAATAAAGTACGTATTTTTTTTTATTGAAAATGTAATAAAGAATCAATTTACTTTAAATTATTCAAAATATGGGATAAAATAATAAATAATGAAATAAGTATTTCCAATTTGTAGTTGAAACACAGGGATAAAGAGGAAGTAATCGGTTCGTACAATAATGAATCCCATTCCTAGACAAAGAATGTGCTATAATTTCAAGCATCTGTGATGAAGTTGTTTCTGGGAAAACTGCGACGGAAATTTGTAAAGTATGGTACGTACAGGCGCACGGATAAACAGGAAGATGACATCGGATTCGTACAAAAATGAATCCCATCATATGGCATGCGTAAACAAAGAGTACGTTAAAAATTTCAAGCATTTGCAACGAGTAGTTGTTTAGAAAACTGCGACGAAAATGTTACGGATAGACAGACAGACGGACACACACGGACACACAATAGTAAAATAGTATACATGTATCTTTCGGAGCGGGGGTATAATAACTAGTTAGTACATATTAATACCATAAAAATATGTGGTGCATAATATATTTCTAACTATAATACTTAAAAAACTTTTGGGGGGAATTATTTGGCAGAAAGAGGCTTGATTTGTCTAAAAGTTTTTCAGATTACTTTTTATTGATAGATTGAACATTAAAGAAGAAAAAAGAAACAATATCTGATAAAGATTCCAAATATATCAAGAGGACCAATAATCAATACGAAATGAAGATATTTCTATGGAAATAAATTTCTGATGACGGGTTTCAAGCCATCTGCATCTCGACTACAACCGTTTCAGCATTTACAAAATTATGTACTAGTTTTGGTATTAAAGATGAAAACTTGATCAGGTATAAAAATGACAACTTCCATTAAAATGAAATACAGCTCATATTACACCAACACAAATTATATCATCTCTAATAAAAAGAACATGCGTCTGCAAAGTATCGAGATCGAGAAAAATCTTCAAAACTTTTATCTGAATTCTCAGCATCCGGCAATACTAGATTTTACTGCCTAACAATCGTAAGTTTACATGATTTTCCATATATGCTCATGTCAAAATCGACAAACATAATGACTCAACACTTGTAAATGTGTTCTTTCCCAGAGGTCATTTTATGTACGAATGTGTAAAATACGAACTCAAGAATTGAACGCATCAAATACGAACTGGTTTTAAAATCTTTAAATTTTCCCAAAAGCGTACTCAAATATTGTGGCAGTTCAAGTATATACATTCGAGATATAAAGTATAAAAAGGGTTCGTCAAGAATTACACGGTACAGTGTTCTGGATTATCGTTTAAGACTGTAGATAAACACATATACAATTATAACTGTAACAAATTGTGAATTTACACGTATAGATTTTTTTAACACGATTACCCTCCTTAACGAGGTTCGATCCTGAGCTTTTGAGGAAATTTTTGTCCAAACCTCTGTTTCAAAAAATATTGTGCATAATAATTTAGTTCTTGCGATAAATTTGGATTCTACAATGCCAATTACACTATTCAACTAAAATCCCACGATTAAATTCCATACCAAAAGCATTAAGTGAGGAAATATATTTTGTGGCAGAAGGTTTTTTTAAGACGAATATTATCAATTTTTTTCTTTCAGGTATTTACAATACTGTTAAGTTTGGATTCCTATTTTTCTATGAAGTTTAACTTGTGCCTTGAAATGCTTTATATGTATCTAGGTACAAATATCTTGGAGTTCACCTAACTGCATCTGGAAGTTTTCATGTAGCAAGATCAGAGCTTTATAAAAAGGCGTTAAAAGCATATCATAAATTGAGAAATGATTTTATTAATTTGAATCCTGGGATTAAAACGAGTATACATGTATTTGACTATACTATTAAACCAATTCTTTTGTATAATGCAGAGGTGTGGGGTGCAAGTAATATCAATACTAAAAGATTCCTAAAATGCCAAAAGTTAGAAGTTGAAGACTGTTTCAGAAATCTACTTTGTGAAAGAATACACCTTAAATTCTGTAAATATATTCTTGGTGTTCATAAGAAAAGTACAAATTTTGCAGTATTGTCTGAATTGGGAAGGTTCCCCCTGCATTATGATATTGGCAAATTGTTAATCAAAAGTTGGTATAGATTTGAAAATTTGTCCACAGAATTTCCTTTACTTAAAGATGCATATGAATGTAGTAAAAATCTTTTTGTACATGGAAAGAACTCATGGTTCGCATTTGTACAGAAATTAAGAAATATACTGAATATCAAAGATGAAGTAATTTGTTATGGGAAGCATAAATTTAAGTCACTCTGTCATAAAACCATATTAGATTATTATGTAAAAAATTGGTATACAAGTCAACAAAGTTATACTGATGGTAAATTAAGCACATATGTAAAACTCAAACAAAATTGGGATTATGAGAATTATTTATCAGTAGTTAAAATTTTCATCACAGAAAATCTCTATGTAAATTAAGAATTTCTTGTCACAGATTGCAAATTGAAGTTGGAAGATTTACCAACATCCCTCGAGAAGATCGATTATGCAATAGATGTAACTCTAACAGTGTAGATGATGAAACTCATTTTCTCATAACTTATAAAAAATACGATCATCAAAGAAAAGAAATTTTTCAATCAATTAAAAGTAAATTTCCAAATTTCTCGGCATTAGATGATGAACAAAAACTTTTTTGGTTACTCAATACTGAAGACAAAGAAACTCTTAATTCTGTGGGCTAATTCATAAATGATAACATGTTGTAATAGCCATACAGTTTTATATATAGTATTCCCTTTAACTGAAATAATACAATATTATTGTTGAAATGAGCAGTGTCATTTACAAATTGTTATACTATCCATTGGCATATCTTTTCTTTATTATTGTAATAATTTCATACTTGTCTGTTATGGGCTCTAAATTAGAAAATAAATGTTCTGTTCTGTTCTATACTGTTCCTATATTATTTATTAAATTAACTGTCATGAATTCCATCATCATATTGTGACAAATATAGCATATATTTTGTGAAAATCCAGAAAAAAGTAGCCTAAATTTAATTTTAAAATTAACACTATTTTTAGAAATGTCTAAAAATTTACATCTCATACCTTCACTTTTTATTTTCTTTTCTGAATATATGACATTTATAACCATTCTGCTTTAATTCAGAAAAAATTTAAATACATTAAAAGTATTTCATTGTTTGTCTTATTTTTAATGCCAGAAAAATAACTTTCAGTGAAAAAAGGTCAAATGATTGACTATGCCAGGTAAGGCCAACTTTAAAATAATGTTTGTTTGCCCTCTCCCGACTCGGGATGAAAAATATGAGTCATTAGATAGGTAAGAATTTTTTTATTCTAAGAAAATTTCAATTTTAATGCTTATTATTTTTTTTAAATCTATTGTCCAGAATACATAAAACAAATAATTGCTTCCAGGAGGTCAAAAAATAAGTTTTGAGTCGGGCTATTTTTAGCTAGTCGGTCGGGAGAGGGCAACCAAACAATTTTTTAAAGATGGCCTTAAAATGAAACTTTTTCGCTGTCCCAAACTTTATCGTAACTATTTAAAGTAAAATAAGGCTGTATTTGGTCCCATGACTTATTTAGATAAAAATATTGGAGGAAAAACTTTTATAATTGATACATGTGTTGGACGTAGTTACAGTGCAAAAAGGTCATATTAAATGCTACATAGCGCCAAAAGAAGCGCATTAACCCCCATTTTTTGTTGTGATTTTTAATTAAGCTATGTGTGTAGATTTTAAAAATATACTTGATTGAAAATTCTCATTACTTTTGATATCAGGATCCAAGTTTTTTAAAAAAAGTCTTGTCCGATGACTGCGAGGAACCGAATAGCGCCTACGGAAGGCGATGGGGAGAGGGGAGGGGTACCGCACATAAAACGCCAAGTAAAGGCAGAGTTACGTATACATCTGAATACATGTACCTTCGAAATCGACGCGTAACTACATGTACAACTGAAACCGAAACGGAAAGTAATATAGCAGACAATCATAATCGTCATATTCAACGAAAAAATTGAGGAAACTGATGTGCGCGTTTATTCAGCGAGGTCGTCCACCTTACGCTGGTGTTAAATTCCTCTCACTCTCGCACGTGCACATCGAATGACTTTTTCTGAGTAGCAAGAGTTTGTCTTCAGTTTCCTATAACCTACTACATTAACCTTATAGTTAACATTCGTCCCCATTTGTCGAAAATCAATGGGAGTAACTGAACAGTAGAGTAAAACGGCTTCGGATTACCTCTGCTATTCTCGACAAACTAATGGCTTAATTCTTGGAACAGTGGACTAATACAATGATGAACATGTACAGGAGAATCCGGGCTTTTATAGATGTGCGAGGGAGGCATCCGAGATATTAACGAGTCAGTCAAATTGGGGAACAGTCAAACGTGCTTCAATTACCCATGAAATATCGGTCAGATTGGCATATATTTATTAGCAAGAAGTAAATGTTTGCGATATTCAATATTAGCGATCACAACACTGTCCTTAATCATGCCAAATTCAATTTATCGTGTAAGATTCATAAATTAAATGAGACAGATACTTAATTTCATTCTTACCTGTCTTAACAATTTTGTCATGTTTAAACTCGATTTTTTTTTTATTCAATGAACAAATCCTATGCTCTTTTTCTTTGTTCACTTCCCCATCTTATTTATTGATTGAAAAGTACATACCTCAAACGGTACTTGATACATCCATTTTTGTACAAATGAAGCATTTTGTTTGGAACAGTGACGTCATGAAAACTGGCACGTTTCTCATTGGTAAAATATAGGTCAGGGACCCAAACTTTAACCATAAACTTTGAGTCAAGCTCAAAGTAATCGTCATTCAGCATTCCGTAAAAAATCAGGCGGGGGTCACACCACTCTTGTTCAACAAATGCGTTGATTGTAAAATCCTGCAATATTTAATTTGATAATGACGAAACATTTGCAAATACTACAAATGTAAAATCTCCTAACTAATATACTTGATAATTATACTAGTCTAGTATCTATATGCAGGCGCATTTTAAAAGATCAGTATATTTCTGAACAAAGGACACCTTATTCAGTCTTGTTATGTTGTAACATTGTTAACCTCTCGTCATTAAGCTTTATTGGACTTGACAAAATGGACCCATTTCATTTTGGTATGATTCAATTTAGACAAGTCCCTATGCTTCCAATCGCAAAGTGTTTTACACATGTTTCATTTCTCAATGATTTAAGACAACATAAAAACCAATTTTCAATCACTCATAGAACTTCTCGTTGTCTATGATTCTTATCGTGTGCTTTCATTCTCTGTCTCGATCCATTTTTATAACACGTAATTTCGTCAGGATTTTCCATAAACAGGTAGATGTTTTACTTAATTGACAATCGTATAAGTTACATTTAGCAAACTTCAAAACAGTTCAGCAATTTCCATGTACACATTATTCACAACTCTCTCCTTTACAATGATTAACAACAACAATACAGGGTGCCCATGACTTTTATAATTGGGCCATAAATTCTGGGACCTCAATTTATTATACGTCATCTACTCTCAAAATGAAAGCAATTATGTCCGAAACTATATCACAGACTGTATATGTAAAACTGTTTCTGGGACCTTGTTAATCCATGCAGTTATGATAAAGAAAGGATCTTTCATTAAACGTAGAACATCATGTTATTGCGATTTCTGATTAGAGGGAACAGGTCTGTGATGGTTGCTAAGAACAGTTTGTGTTCTATGACCATCCTACGGAAAATCCAATGGAGGTAATGTGTTGAGGGCAGCAAATTGAAATGATAACTTTGTAGCTGCAGTGTACGGAATTGATTGGTAAAGTGTGTGTGATATAGACAAAAAACTATAATGAGGTGTAGATTTCGTTCATTGGTGTGCGCAAAATGCAGTATCAATGTTCTCGCAGACCGGACAGGATGGTGAACGCGTATGGTGTGCGTAATCCATGTACTTACTAAACAGGAAAGTCTGGTCGTATGTTCAAGCTTGCAGATGACACCAAGGTCGATATTAAACGTTGCCAAGAACAAATGAGAATTTCAAAGAGAAAATTAGTTCACATGAACTTGGCTTTGTATTCTTTCCGTCTCTAGCATTGTTTGTTTCTTATATGTCCTATGTTTTATTTAAAAAAGTCACTTGATAATCAATATTTATAACCTTTACTGTTTGAACACTTAGCCAACTTGAACACATTGCAATAAAATAATTCTTATCGAGCCACATCTCGCTATTTTGTTTTGTTTGTTTGTTTAACGTCCCTTCGGGAATTTTCACTCAAATTGAGACGCCAAAACTTGCCGGTGGAGGGCTGCAAGTATAGACCTGTACTCGGCACTTACATGTAGGGCGTTTTTTGTGCAAGCACTTATTACGGCATGGGACCTCGGTTTATATGGCTTCCTCCGAAGGATCGGTTTCCATGTCCCGCAATGGGATTCGAACCCGCGACATAAGGACCAACTCCTTCGCGACTTTAGAGAAAACGCTCTAACCTCAGCGCCATGCGGGCGACCGCTATATTGTTGAATGAAGATTGCGACCTGAAAATTATGCAACTCAAATGATCAATTTATAAGATAACTTTTTACTGTAGCTTGGGTTAATCTTGGTACAAAATTTGAAATTATTTACATTACCTGAAACTGTTGGATATATAGGATCTCTCATAGTTTGTGGTTTGATACGATTTTTTATCCAACGATTTGTTTTTGCTCAGGAATAAAAAAAATCATATTTAACCACAAACCATAGGAGATTCTTTGAATCACATATTCCAAAAAACGTTATTTCAATGTTTACACTATTTCATATAAGTAAATCTACAATATCTGACTTTATCAAATTCACACATTTTGACTTCACCACCTTGGATATGAAAACGAAATTCTATGAGCTATATCCACCGACAATCAGTGCAAATATATGTAGGATATTTTACTACATCATGAAATAAAAAAAAAAAACAGTGAAAAAAAGAGAACTTATTTTTTGTATCATTTTCTTTTTTTTTCCATTGACATTTTAATTTTCATGAATAAAACAAATTAGTGGAGATATATATGTCATTTAACATTTTAAATTTACACTGGAACCAAGTCCTTCATTTTACTGATTAATTGTAGCAATATCGATATGCGAAGCTTACTACAATATTGCACAGGGCATCCCTTAACAAGACACAAGAATGATTTATTGAGAAATCACTGTCTAATTTGTTGTTTATTCCAGGGAATCAACGAAAGTTGGAAATGTGGAACATATTGGGCGAACGATCTGCATTTATATGTTAAACAAGAGGCCTTAACGGTCACCTGAGTACATAACAACAATTTAGAGGATTCATAGAGTATAAAATAAACTGATGGATGAAGTTTTGTAGCCCAAAAGCAAGAGAAATAGGATGGTCAGGATCAACAAAATAATTAGACTAGTATCTATCAGTCCCCCCATTTATCCATATCACCATGCAGACTATTTACAAAATATCTATTTTTAACCCCATATAATTACCTCTCACTGTGGCCTCTCTTGGTCTTTGAAGAACATTTAAAATGATGTTATTTTTTTCTCCTTTATATTTATCTATTATTTACAAGTCTACCTAATCACTAAAACTATCAAAGTACTTTTTATATTATACAATATTCTTGCACAATTCTCTAATTCTATTAACCTTTCAAATACACTATTTAGAGTGATTAATTGTCAAAGGTGAATGACCAGGGATTAATCTAAATTTTGGGGGAAACTTCCCTTTCTGGAGAAATTGGGAAAATCAGCCGGGGGAAATTAATTTCAACATCTTTATGACCATTTAGAGTGCATAAAATAGCAAAAGTAAAATCATATTTCAGAGAAACATCGTTTTAAAATTTTTACTTTAAATTTCCAGTTTTTAATTGAAAATAATTTACTGGATAGAAAAGTTTGACAAATTCCTTACGTAAAACTTTATTATACTGATATATATTGTATATCACTTGGAAGGAAAAGACAAAAGTTCAAGTGAGAAACTTAGTTTCCTTAAAACTCAAGCTTCCTTTTTTTTAAAAAAAAGGATCCACCATGTCCTCAAGTTCCTCATTGGAAAAAGTTATCTTTTCCTTCCTTACAAATCCAAACGAGATTGGTTAAGCCTCTTTCTGAAATTTGTGCATAAGAAGTTCTTTAAACTAAATCCCCTCTCAACAGTTACTGTTGTGCAAGTAATTAAGCATCCCAGTTCAAGCAACTGTATCATATTTGAGTAGATTAAATTCAGTATCCCATCTCTTTTAGCCTGTCTCAGGTTGTTAGGCAATGTGAGTTGCAGTCCTTGGTCCCCAAGCTGCTGTCTAAAAATTATAACAGGGCATTAGTATTATACTATTTTAAATAAAGTCAGAAAGTTTAACTTTTTTAATCATTCAAAATTTACAACTGTTACTAGGAAAAAAAAAACCCCCAGAGTTAATATCAATAAAATAATTCATATTACAAATTATGTTTCCTAGGATGAATCTGTTGCATGCAAACTTGTAATGAAACAATAACTTTTCTTTAGAAAAAAACATTTTTAAATAAGAAGAAAAATATTAGTAATGTAAAACAGTAAAGTCAAAACCTTGTAAAATTTTAACTGAAAGGGATGTAGTTAATATTTTTTAACCTTATAACAAACAAATGATATTTGAATGAACCATATTCAAGAACCACTGCATCTGCAGATTCGAAGTCAGCGGGGATTCTAGGGAAGGGATGTGCATAAAACTCTGCCAAAGTCTTGATGTCATGCTATAAAAATAAATTATCATTTATTTTAAATACCGAATACCTGAATATTGCTGTAGATGATTTATGTTGACAACATTCACACAAACCTTCCCATAGTCTAGTAATTCCCCAATTGCAGTGCTCAGGGAGATTCCTTGGGTCTAGGACCCCAAAAGACCTCCGTACCGGTGAAAAGGTGAATGAATATTTCATTTCAACTAGAAGAAACCTGATGAATGGAAGGCCTGTGAGTAACAAAAAATCCTCAGGCGTCTGAACATGGACATTCCTATGTTCATCTTGTCTGATTCTTTGTTGTAGAGATGTTCTGTCTACAACGCCAAGATAAAAGTCATGAACCTTCGAGAAAGTCAGTTCTTCATGCTGACACATCTAGATGATTATGTGTTGAGTATTATCCACCCAGCGAGAATTCCTTTGTTTACTACCCGCCATGATAGTCGAGTGGTCAAAGAAGAATGTCTATACAAATATATTTTCATACTCAGACTTCTGCTAGCAGGGGATGTATCACTCAATCCCGGCCCGATCAAGTTTCCATGCTTAATTTGCAATAAGCAAACAAGGCGAAATCAGCAACTTTTCAAATATGTAGATTGTAAACAAAGATGCCATATGAAGTGCATTGAAATTGAAGAAATGATAAAGATAAACGAAAATCATCTCACATGGTCATGTAATAAATGTATTTCAGAGATCAATTCGAACACTTCTACTTCATCAGATGACCTAGAAAGTGATAACGGCGAAGCATATAATATATTTGATCGACTATTAGAAACTAGGTCACGAAATCCAAACAAGTTTATGTGTGCCTACCTGAACATAAACAGTCTCCGATTTAAGTTTACATACATAAAAGAACTGCTTACAAACAAAACCGTCGACTTATTATTCCTAAGTGAAACGAAATTAGATTCCTCTTTTCCCGATGCACTTTTCTCCGTGGACAATTATCACATGTGGCGTGGAGACCGAAATTCCTCTGGAGGAGGTGTCATAGCTTATCTCAGATCCGATGTAGCCGGAACCCGCAGACCCGAATTGGAGGCGGATGAAATAGAATCCATTGGAGTTGAAATTTCAATAAACTCTACTAAAGCATTTTTTCTAGGTT